CCAGAAGGATCTCTTACCAGCGTGTTCCAGTACCTTCCTTCATGATCTCCAGGCACAGTGGTTCTCAGCCCTCCTAAAGCTGCCATCCTTTAATACAGTTCCTCATGCCGTGCTGACTCCAAACAAAATTACTTCGTTGCTGCCTCAGAACTGTAATTTTGCTACTGCTGTGAATTGTACTGTGAATGCCTGACATTCGGGATACCTGAAATTTGGCCCCTGGGGAGGTTGTGACCCACGTGTTAAGAAATACCGATAGCACCTTCTTAGGCTCTTCCCATCCCTTCCTTTTGTAATTTGTTACCCAGAAGCTGCCAGATGAACTTCGGAAAGCACACCTCTTACCATGCCCCTGCCGTACTTTTACTCTTCCGTTGCTTCTCATTTATATGAAAACCAACTACCTACCAAGCTCCTCACGGGCCCGCATGAGCTGATATGGGATGAACTGTGCCAAAACTACATTCATTGGCAGCTTTACCCACAGTGCCTGGGAAGGTGATTTGAGGTGATTGTGGTAAGATAAGAGCTTTAGGGTAAACCCTAACATGATACGACCAGTATCCTTACAAGAAAAACTAGGGTACAGGCTGTACCCCGGGGAATACTTCCTGAAGACACAAGAAGGCAGCTGCCTACAATTCTCCTGAGAAAGACCTTGGGAGAAAATGAACACTGATGAACACTTCGGTCTCAGAGTTCTGGCTCCGGCAAAATGAGAACATTTAATTTCTGCTGCTGAAGTCACCAATACTGCATGACGCTGTGAGGGTAGCCCTGGCAAACTGACACGACCCCTTCTCTAGCCTCGACTCACTTTGCGGGTCCCATGCTCACTATGCTCTAGCAAAGCAGCTTTTTCTTTGGTTCTTTGAACTGTCTGTACTTACGCTTGTCATGGTCTTTGCATAGATGCTCTCCCCACTTCCGGCCTCTGCATATATATTCTCCCTGCTTCCTAGAACGACCTTTGCCTATTTCCTGTTGGTCTAGTTCATTTTTTTTCATTTAAAGATTAGATTCCTTTATGTGTGTGTCAGATCCCCTGGAACTAGAGTTATGGACTCCTGTGAGCCACCATGTGGGTGCTGGGAACTCAACCTGGGTCCCCTAAAAAATCAAGGGCTCTTAACCACTGAGTCAGCTCCTCAACCCCTCCATCTTCCTTTATTCAACTATTAGTTACTGGGTGCTAATTATATGCCTGCAAAATGCTAACCCTTCTGAGCAGGCAGCAGTGTGTAAGCATGGCTCTTGGCCTCAGTGGGCCTACAGATGCCCACCTAAACATCTTTGTATTGCAGTGTTCCTGGGACAGCTACCCATTAAGACCTCCTAGGAAAAGACTGCCTGAGGATAGCAGAATGAACACCAGACATGAAGCTGGCATAGCTTAGAGCCCACCTCCAACCTTGAAGAAAGGAGTGTGGGTAGCTGGCAGTCCCAGCTGTTAATTGTTTTGGACCCCCCTCATCTTTGAGCTAAGATGCTGGTCTCTTTGGGGTGCACTCTCCAATGACTGAACGAAAGTGTGACATAGCATGTCTGCCTAACACAGGACAGCTTCCCTTCCTTGATTCTGCTGCTTCCTAGCTCCTCTGGTCCCTCAAGAGTTACTTTCCAGTAATCTCTTTGCCTCCTAAATCTGTCTCTGCCTCTGGTTTCCAGTGGGCCATGCTAGCTTTTGGAGCTAAGCAGGTGGCTTCGGTAGCTCTAAGCATCCTCTGACACTGCCAGGAGCAGGTGGTTTAGAACGGGTGCTGAGCCAGTGTAAGCAGGATGTACTACCACTCAGGCTGCTAGGGGACCGAAGGATATTTCCATCTGGGACATGAAGCAAATAACCCCGTGTTCCTTGGCAATGAATAGACCTTGGCATCATATAAGTGACCCAAATGTCTCCACAGGCTTTCTGAATGAGCCGTTTGTTCAGTGAGTTGAGAGTGAGCCTAAGGTCAGGGTCCCTGAATTCATTTCCTATTAGCCAGTTAGTCTTAGAAGTGCTGGCCTGTCAAAAGTGGTCGGTTAGCTGTTTAGATGTAAATGCCGTAGACCTCTTACTCACAGATTATGCAGTCATTCCTCAGCTGCCTCAGCTTTTCAGTGACATAAACAGTTTACAGGTGCTGTCAGGGGGAGAAGCCATGTAGACCTGGTTAGTGACAAGGACGGTGCCTGAATTAAAGTCATAAGTGGAGAATTGCTGCTGCCTTCTGCTGTGGAAGCATCTTCTAGTTCATTATTAGAAAAGCAAAATTCCATAGCCAGGTGTAATCCCAGAGTTCAGGAGGCTGGAGCAGGAGGATTGCCACAAATCCAAGACCATTCAGAACTAGACAGTAAGTTCAAGGCCAGCCTGTTTGTGAGGTGCTCTGAAGAGTCGTGGGTCAGCATGGGCTGGGCAGCTTCCAGAAATGTCAGGCCAGGTCCCCAGGACTCACACTAAAAAGCTGGTCATGGCTGAATGCACTTTTAACCCCAGCACTGGAGGGTGGAGACTGGGGGATTGCTGGGACTTGCTGGCCAGCCAGTGTAGCTGAAACACCAAAAACTCCAGATTCCTCGGGAGACCCGGCCTCACGGTGGGACAATAAGATAAAAAGAGATGGGGGGGGGCTGAAGTCCTGTTTGGACTTCAGCACATGTTAACAAGAGCACAGGCACGTGCACACAGGCACACACGTGCACACACACCATAAGCAACAACAAGCATTGCTCATCCCCCTTTCTCCTATTTAGCCATCCTCCCCGTGTGTTAAAAAATCCTGTCCCATGTAGTGAGGTTAAGCACAAAGGGCTGCTGGGTTAAAACCTAACTTCTCCCGTTGACCGGCTGTGTGACCTGGAACAGTTACTTCATCTCTCTGAGTCTTAATTGGTAAGATGAGTAAAACAACACGTGGCAGATAAGGCTGATGAAAAGTTGAAATAAAAATAAAATGTACGAAGTACTTGTCTCTTTCTGGAGTTATTTCCCCATATCAAACACTATTACGTTCCAGGGTAAATGAAATTTGTGCTGATACAAAGTATGTTCCCATTCTAACAATGTGTCTTTGTAAGCAGACGCTGGCAAAATTTCTGCTTGGACCTCCATCTGAAAATATTGACTCTGAACAATACTGTTTTTCTTTAATACTGAGATTATGTCCAGTCTGTTAAAGTTCAAAGTTCTCTAAGGTAAAAACAGCTGACGCTCCTTAACTGTTAACTTAGAAGTTTAGATTCTGGTGCCATCCTGTATAAAGCTGGGAGACTTGGGGGGGGGGAGCTATCATTTTAGCCTCGGGAAGATCTTTCTTGAAAGTCTTTAAAAATATTTTTAACATGTATTATTTTTGTGGTATGCCCGAATGCATATGTGCAGGAGGCCACAGGGACCAAGAGAGGGTATGTGTTCCCCTGTAACTGAAGTTAAAATCAGTTGTGAGCTGCCATGTGGGTGCTGGGAACTGAACCTGGACCCTCAGCAAGAAAAAGGTTCCAAGGATCTGTCTCCCTCTTCTGTGCTCCACGGCACCAGGCACGCACATGGTGCGCAGACACACATGCAGAACAAGCCCTCATACACGTAAAAGAAAAGTAAATCTTTAGCCGGGTGGTGGTGGGGCGCACCTTTAATCCCAGCACCTGAGAGGCAGAGGCAGGCGGAGCTCTGATTTTGAGGCCAGCCTGGTCTACAGAGGAGCTCCAGTACAGCCAGGGCTACACAGAGAAACCCTGACTCAAAAAAAATGATCATATATATATATATATACACACACACACACATTGTTACATAAATATATATATATTTATTTATTTAATCATAAAAATGATTAATGCATCTTCCACAGTTCACGTAGGTCTTTTTGTTGTTTGGTTGTTTGGTTGTTTTAGCCTTGGCTGTCACAGACTCACTTTGTAAACCAGGCTGTCTTTAAACTCACAGCAATCTGCCTGTCTCTGCCTCCCTGAGTGCTGGGATTAAAGGTGAGTGCCACCACGCCTGGCTTCCAACTGAGACTTTTTGTTTGTTTGTTGTTGTTTACAATTTATTCATTTTATATTCCAATTGTAGTACCCACCCTTATTTCCTCCTGGTCCCACCCTCTGTCCCTCTTCTCCCCTAGCCCCTTCCCCTAGTCCCCTGAAAGGAGGAGTCCTCCTCCCCTGCCAAATGACCCTAGCTTATCAAGTTTCATCAGGACTGCCTGGATCCTCTTCCTCTGTGGCCGTGATCAAAGAGCTAGCAACTGAGTTCATATCAGAGACAGTCCCTGCTCTCCTTACTCAGGAACCCACATGGACACTGAGCTCCCAGTGGGCAGCAGAGGGTCTAGGTCCTTGGTTGGTGTATCAGTCTCTGCAGGCCTCTCTGAGTCCAGATTTTTTGGCTTTGTTGGTCTCCGTGTGGAGCTCCTGTCCCCTCTGGATCCTTCTGTCTAGAGGTCCCTCAATGGAAGAATGGGCACAGAAATTGTGGCACATTTACACAGTAGAATACTGCCCAGCTATTAAAAACAAGGAAATTGGGAAATTTGCAGGCAAATGGATGGAACTAGCAATGATCCTCCTGAGTGAGGTAACCCAGAAGCAGAAAGACAGCCATCTGAGTCTTAAAGCAAGATTCTCTACACACTTGACCTTTTAGTTCAGCCCCATCCCCCCATCCCCCCCAAAATTGCTTTCTGATTCTAAGCCAGAGCCAAAATTACATCTGGTTCCAAATGGCAGCTCTCTAAAGCATCCACTATTTTTCTTGAGAATGTTTTTGGGAAATGTAAGGTTATTAAATCTATCTATAGGAGATGAGATTGCCAAGTTTGAAAAGGGCAGGAACAATCCTTGGCCTCACATCATTAAATGAGAAAACATTTCACAGAGCCTGAGGGAAGTGGAAGAGACCCATGTAGAAAGAAAACAAAAAACAAAACACAAAACAAAAAAACCCACTGGACTCAGAAAGTATATAAGGGCAAAGGATCTTTGAGTGGAGTGCAGCCGCCATTGCCGAAAGACTCAGTCCTGACGAAGAGACGACTCTATTCCCTCCCAAATGAAGCTGCTGCTGCTGCTGCTGGGTCTGGGGCTGACCCTAGCCTCTGTCCATGGACAGCCGTTTGATCCCAAAGAGGTAGCCTGGTGGGGAATCGTGACTTCTCATCCATTCAGTGCTCTTGGGGAACCCTGAAGCCAAGTGGGTGCTTTGAGGGGAGGGGTGGAGCCCTCAATCCATTAGACACAGGAGTGGCTTCAGACCTTGAAGAAAGCTTGCAGCTAGTCAGATCTAACAACGTGTGGGGACCTTCGTTCTCACTGAGAGACAGGGACAGGATAGTAAGTATTGTGCCAACCGACCTGAGCTCTGTTCCTGTGGGTGCTCATGCCCCGGCCCACAGGCCAGAGTTCAAGCAGAAACATGGCCTGCCCTTTCTCTCTTAACCACTTGCTTATCTATTACAGCTTGAGGGGGAATGGTATACCATTAGGTTGGCCTCTAGCAGAAGAGAAAAGGTAGAAGAAGAAGGAAGCATGAGAGTCTTTATGGAGCACATGAAGGCCTTCAAGAACAAATCCATAGGCTTCGAATTCCATACTATGTAAGTGTGGGGTTGTTAGCTGAGGAAGAGGAAACGGAAGCCTGACGCGATCTCAGGCCTCCACCCACCCACCCACACACACACACACACACACGTGTACACATAGAACGTAGATGCACATGTACATGTGTGTATATATATGTATATACACATAGAAACCTGTGGCCCCCATAGCATGTACTCGCACACACGTACACACATGTGTCTGTGTGGATATATATATATATATATGACATTAAACCAAGATTTCATAACCAGGGTTTTTTCAAAAGTCAGAAACATGAGTTGGTACCGGAATAGGTTCACTGGGAGTGGGATAAGTCATAGAGATATTTGTGAAAGTGCATTAAGGAGACAGTCAGCACAGGTTAAGAAGATATGATCATGAGTTAAGTTTTTCTTATTAGTTGTTAGCCAAGAAAATCCACCCGCTTTTACTCACATTTCCTGTAGTGAAAGGAGGTCCTGACAGTTCTCCTCCGTGGGTCCGGGGCCTCACCAGGCCCCCCTTGCACAGCGCTGGCTGGGGCAGATGTGGCCATCTGGCCGCCATCCGCACAGGCGGCTGGAGCACAGCGCTGCTGCCGGCGGCGTCACAGCTGTAACGGTGCTGCACCGCGCTTGTTCTTCTTAAAGTAACAGACAAACGGGCGATGACTAAAGTACCAGACAGAAGGACAACATCAATAAGAGCCTTTTGCTAATTTAGAAGAAGATTCAAAGCTAAATGGAATCCGAAACTGGAGATGTGGGTGCAGAACAGAGGGTGAGGACGGCAGCCACATCCGTATCATCTCAGCAGCAGCTCGCTCTGTTTTTCAGTGTAAATGAAGAGTGCGTTAAACATTACGTGGTTGCTGATGAAACAACAGAGCCTGGTAAATACAGTGTTGAATGTAAGTATATAACAAGTCTATATATTTATCATGGGAGTCTGGAAAATCCTAATATCCTCATTGTGTGTGGGCAGGATTGAACTCAGGGCCTTGCACATACTAGTCAAACTCTCCATTACTGAGCTACAGCCCCAGCCCTCTTCAGAATCTGTCACTTCCTGGTCATTGTCTATTTAGCTAATGGAATGGAGGCTCTCTAATAGCTATCACCCGGCGGTGTCCTTCCGTGGCCCAGGGTCCACTTCTTCCCTCTGTGCATCAGGCTCTGGTGTGCACAGCTGCTGGACTCCAAGCCCCAGGCTTAGCTGGGGAGGGGGGAGGAGAGCACCATCTCCGGTTCTGCTCCTCCAGTGACACAGCTCTCTTCAGTGGGGGAGTGAGAGCAATATAAACCTTGGGGAAGTGGGTGGGGGTTTTCAGGTGAGTGGACATCACTGGCTGGGGCTGAGGTGCCGGGAACGCTTCATTTACAAGGAGAGGGATTCCAGGTGCCTGCTAGACATGTCCTAGCCACCAGGCTACGTGACTACCTCCGAGGACGGCACGGTGGGGGTGTCACAGGGCTGTGCACCAGGGCGTGCAGGCACAGCACAGGGAGGGAGCGAGCCTTACTCCTGCGGGTCTCAAGATTGAGATTTTCAGGGTTGAGACCCATCTCACCCTCACTCTTGCTCAGGCTGGTTCCCCCAGTCACATGGTTCACGGGCCCCACAGGGCAGCGGGCAGGTGGAACAAGGAAGGCGAGATGGCTGCTTCCTGCCAGCTGTCTGCACCTCACCTCGCTCGGGACGCAGCAGCACTAGACAGGCGTAGGTGCAGACATTTGATACAGCTTGTGAAGACAGAGACACATCGCTGGAAGCTACAGAGGGGCATAGATGGACTGCACCCGGGCTGGGATGGGCTGAGCTGCTGCTGCAGCTAACTGTTCATAGTGGACGACCTAGCACTGTCCCTTTTCTTAGGAGTTAGTTCATGAAGTCCAGAAAGCTACACATGGAATGAAGCAGACATTTTTCACCCTTCTCTTTAGGATATGCACTTAAATTTTTTTTAATGTGGGGTAGCATAGGTAAAGGGTTTCCATTGTTTACTGTAGACCAAAGAATTTCTAAGCTGTGTTCCATTTCCTCCACAGATGACGGACACAATAAATTTACTTTATTTGAAGCAGACCCTGATGTTTACGCAATATTTGAGCTCACTAATTTCAAGGATGGGAAATCATTCAAGCTGGTGGTGCTCTATGGTAGTATTTTCATGCAGACACTGGTCTTAGGGTGGGAAAGAATAGAAGGAAGAAACCCTAGCTTGGCTCTGCCCTGCCTCCTTCTTACCTCCTAAAGACACCTGCTCACTCTTGTCATCTCTTAGGCTCAGTGATGGGATGACTCTGAGATTTTCATGTGCCAGAAACATATTCTATGGATGCCAAATTCCGGACAGGTTCTATCCATGCCTGCCAATCATACTGTCAATCATTTCCCCATCCTCGTGGAGGAGCTCTGTCCCGTCATTCAGTTCTGTGGTCAGTATACAAGATGCAGCCACTACCATTGCTGTTACTCTTTTCACAGCTCGAGAACCAGATGTGAGCCAGGAAATCAAGAACAAGTTTGAGGATCTACGTGAAAAGCACGGAATTTCAAAGGCAAATATGGTTGACCTAACCAAGGCAGGTAAGTCAGGGCTCATCTGGTTTCCTCATCCTGAATTTTATATCATAGAAGAAACAAACCTGGGGGACGTTTGTTGCAAGCTGGAGAGGCATCTGGTTCCTCTTGGGGAAATAAAGCAGGCCTGGTACCTGAACGTGTTCTTGTCCCCACCCTGCAGATGCCTGTCGCCGCACTTGAGATGGAGGAGACGCCTGACCCTCCAGGTGGGCAATCTCCAGTGGAAGCAAAGAGGGGTAGACACGGATGAGTTCCTCCCGAAAGCTTTAGTATTGTGTCCCAAAATTACAATAAAAAGAATTTGATCAGGAACTGTTGAGAGAGCTTGAAATTTAGCTTCGAATTGGATGGATTTGTGATCTAGTCCTACCATGAGCTTTTAAGGAAGTGACCCAAGCAATTAAGCAAGAAAACAAAATGTGTACTCTATATAGTTGCTGCATGGCTGCATAAAAAGGGCTCGGCAATGTGTTAACTGTCATTAAGGAAGTTTGGCCCCTCCCCCAAAGGAATTAAAGTTTAAAATAGAGAGAAGTGGGAGATGCGGTTATTTCCCCATTCCTAATAGCAATGTCTTCATCTGAACTCCATGCAGACTTGGCTTCTTGCCTGGGAGTGGAACTGCGTGATCTTCACTTCTCCTCCAGTCTGGAGGAGACTCATTTGTCCCCTCTTTCTCATATATTCCAAAACTTTGTTCAGACAATGTGTGAAAGTCTTTAAAAGTAGCCAAGGCCTTTGTCATTATTCCTCAATATACTGAAAGATCTTCACTGCTTCTAATGACAAAGTTCGGGAAACAAGCCTCAGCTCTTTATTCATCCCTTTTATTTTTCATACTTCATCAATAAGGAAAAAGACAGTTATTCTAGGTTTTTCATCCCTGAATTATGGTAAGTAGTGTCAGTAGATTGCAGGGAAGAGCTGTTTTTTCCTTCTTTGTTCCATATAGTAGAATGTCTGTGTCCTGATGTCAATTCAAGCACTGCTTACCAAGTTTCTGTATTCTTTCTTCCTGGCTTCTTCAGTGCTGAGTGGGGACTTCTCGCCTGGACTCCAGCATCATCCCTTCCTGTCCACACACCATCCTGTGACAAGTTCTCACGTCTGAGTCCCATCCTATCCCACAGGAAATCGTAATCCCTGCCTCTTCAGCATCTTTCCTAATTACCTAGGGTGACTCATCAAGAATCAAAGCTTGCTTTAAATTTCTCTTTGCCACACCCATGACAACTCTTCATGAATGTCTTCCTCTTCCTGTTCAATAAATGATTACCCGTGCACTTAAACATATGTCTCTGTGTCCAGGAAAATGTAGGGCTGACAGTGAGTGAGCAGACCTTCTGGGCTCTGTACCCAGGATGCTTCTTATGTCCCAGAATCTAACCTGAGGTCAGCATTCTGCCTCCTCTGCATAGTCCCAAGCCCCCATGAGTGCGACCTGCCCTTTGGTTCTCCTGCTTTAGTGGCTTTACAAGAACCTTAGGAACATGAGACTCCTGCATGCTTCCTCCAGCCACAGGGTCTTTTTCCAACAGAGCACAGAGAGACACATGCTTCTGAGGCTATGTCTGCTCAACACAGTTCAGGACATGCCTCCCAGGCTGGGTCAGGGGGAAGGGGGAAAGGTTTGGTTGTTAGAGTCACAAAGGCTACAGAGGAAAGATTGCCTAGTTCCCCATAGCATGCTCTGATCCCTAGACTAAGAGATTGAATTAGGTTGAGGCTCATGACTCCTGAATCAGGTTCTTGGTGTGGTTTGCTAAAATATGACAAAACATTATTGAGAAAGCCAACCAATTATGCTGAGACACCCCCCATACCGTCTCCTACTCATTTCTTCCCCACCTCTGATAGATCCTTACCATGTCTACTAGACTGGCCTGAAATTTCTGGGTCCAAATCAGCCTCTAGCCACAGGCTTATAAGCGACTGCAGCTACATCCATGTACCACCATGCCCAGCTTTTAACTTTTAATCTGGGGATTTCGGGTTTTTTTTTCAAGACAGGGTTTATCTGTGTAGCCCTTGCTGTATTGGACTCATTTTGTCGACCAGGCTGGCCTAGAACTCACAGAGATCCACCTGCCTCTGCCTCTCTGTGTGCCACCACACCTGGCTAAATCTTGGAATTTAAGGGACAAAAAAAAAAAAAAATGCACAACCTAAGCTATCCATGGAATACTTAGGAAATTAAATAAGAGTTCCAGTCCAGGACTGTGTTGATGACTGAAAATGCTACCATGAGTCAAGAGACCACACCCAGAGAAATGCACAGAAAACTTTGGCTAGTCTCAGGTCAAGATGGCAGCTTGAGTTCACCCTGAAGCCTGCCCCTTCAACACCAAACACTCTGGAAATGATGGGTGAAATAGTAATAACATGCAAAGTCAGGCAGAGTAATCTCTTTCTAAGGGAAGAAGACAGGGAAGTGATGACGGCTGACAGGGTAGAACTCGCTGGTCTCCATTATTCTTCATCATCTGGGAGTAGATTGCAGCTAACTAAACATACAGGGTTGGGGGCAACTGTAACAAAGACCCGACAGAGATGCTGGATGAAGATGCACCCATCAGAGACAGAATGATCTGAGAACAGCTCCCCACCCTTATCTGGACATACAGCAAGATGACTACCTTTGGCTGTAGAATTTTAGAGCTAGGAGTCCCCATTTCAGCAAGCTGGCCTAATGCTCACGGTTGGCCCAGAATGTCTTGTCAGACATAAATAACCTCATAAAATATCAACATCAGGCAAGACCATGCTGGGGTCGTAAATACAAGATCATTTTGTCATCTATAAACATGTCTGTCCTCTAGCTAAAATGACTGACAGCTGCTTCTCCACCAGTCGCAGGGTTGGCTTTATGTTTGTCTCCACTTACTATAAATGAGATTTATTGGGCTATCTAATCACTCAGCTGTTGTTTTCTAATTGCACCCAACCTAGAGCTTCCTGAGACATCCCCAAATCCTATAGTAGGTTTCCTGTTTCATTCCTTTTATAAAAATTATCTTGTGTGTTTGTGCGTGTGCACCAATGAGATTATGTGTGTGCGTGTGCACCAATGAGCTTGTGTGCGTGTGCATGTGTATATGTAGAAGTTGGTGTCAAACATCCTCCTCTACACTCTCCACCTTGCTTTCTAGGATAGAATCTTTCCCTAAACCAAGAGCGGATGAATGTGGCTAGCCAGGCTGACCAGCAAACCCCCGGGACCCTCCTGCCTCTGCTTCCCCAGGACTGAGATTACAGGTGCATTCCACCATGCTTGGCTTCTTGTGTGGATCCTAGGGATCCGAACGGAGGTCCCTGGGCTTTCAGGGGAAGTAGCTTCCTGACTAAGCCAGCTCCACAGCCCAAGTTCTTTCTGAGATGCCCGGACTGCCCTTAGAGGTTTCTTCCCAACTTCAGTAGTAGACTGGTAAACCTAACCTTATTTTACTTACAAATATGCTACTAGTGCTCTTTAGCAGGGTGATACTAAATTCTTAAGATGAAAGAGAGGTTATTCCATGACTGGGAAGCCCCAGACTAAATCATAAATGCAACTCTTGATTTGAGGCTCTGCACTTGGTAAGGAACGGAACCAAGAAAGTCTTCAAATTTTTGTCTCAGATATGAGAATAAGAGGATTGCCCTTTCTCCAAGTCTCTTGGGAGAATAAATTTAAGGGAGAAGGAAATGTCCCAGTTCCAAACCTTTCAGTAGTTAGCCAGGCTGCTATAAAAAGGCCCAGGGCTTGGAAGACAACTCAGCTGGTGAGGAGCTTGCTGTGCAAGTGTGAGAACCTGAGTTTGATCCCCAGAACCCACATGGAAGAGCTGAGCTTAGTGGAACATAGCAGTACATGCTTGTAACCCAGCACTGGGTAGATGGACACAGATTCCCAGGCCTCAGCCTGCTGGCCAGCCAGCCCAGCCTCTAGCTCGGCCTCCTGGGCTCCAGGAAAACAACAGACCTGGTCTCCAAATACAGTGGACATCCTCTGGCAATCAGCATTGACACCTGGCCTCCAAACATACATGCACACATGACGATGGAGTTAATTTCTCTTTCCCTGTATTCATTCAGGAATCTGGTTCTTTCTCTATATCAGCCCCCTGAGACATGTCCTGGTCCACATGGAACAAGATAAGAGGAGACAGTTGGTGGCACTCTGTCTTCTGTTCACTCTATTCTGGCTCTGAATCCAGGTTCTGCTTTATTTATTACCCTCCAAGGCCAGTTCACACAGAGCGTTGCCTTAAGGACTAAAGAGTCACATGCTTAGTTAAAGGGAAGGCACGAATTTCTTCCGGCAATGCAAACTCTCCCAAAATGTAGAGGATGTTTGTTGTATTTGATTCTCAACCTTTCCACGTATCTCAACTAGACATCGCTTTAAGCTTGGGAACTCTTGGAACTTTCTAGACTGGTTTCTATGACCTGCCAACTCCCCAGCACTGCCCCATCTCTTAATGTGATGGTGACCATCTTGAAGCCACCTACAACAACAGACTTCTATGAGGACCGAGCTGCTTATGGGTTACATCTGGGGACCTACATCCAGTCCGAGTATGGTCCTTGATTGCTGCTTCAGTCTCCACAGGCCGATCCCCCTCCCCTGGGCCCTGGTCAGTTGGTTCTGTCGGTCTTCTTGAGGAACTCCTGTCCTCTCTGGGGTCGTCTATCCTTTCTGGCCCCACCCCATTCCAGAAGGCTTCCTGGGCTCCTCCCAATGACTGGCTGTGGATCTCTGCCTCTGTTTCCATAAGCTGCTGGGTGGAGCAACTCAGAGGAGAACTCCTGTCTGTAAGCATAGCAGAGTAGGGAGAAGCAGGGGAACGGGCACAGGGGACACGTGAAGGGAGCATGGAACTGGGTGAAGAGGAGGGAGGTGGCTTTGATGGGGATGTAAACTGAATAAATTAAAATTAAAAAATAAAACAACAGACTTGGGTGGGGTGGTTCTTTAGCCACCTTCAAACCCTCAGCAGCTGTCTTGTCCACTGTTGAGCCTAGACCCTCACTTCACAGTCATCACTTACCCTGCTTCAGCCCAGGCTGCAGAAGCAGAGACTGTAAATAAAGTTGGAGTGAGGCTGCAGGGGAGGAAGGCTTGACTTAGTAACACCCACTTTCCTGGGAGCTGAAGCTCCCAGGAAAAGAAGCTGTACTGTGCCAAATGCTCTACAATGCTGACTAATGGGTTAACACTTCATTGATTGGGCTAGAGAGATTGCTAAGGTTAAAAGCACTGAATGTTCTTCCAAAGATCCTGAGTTCAAATCCCAGCAACCACAAGGTGGCTCATAACCATCTATAGTGATATCTGGTGCCCTCTTCTGGCCTGCAGGCATACATGCAGGCAGAATACTGTATAAATAAAAATTAAAAAAAAAACATTAAAAAAAACTTCAGTGATTGTACAGAGGTGGAATGTTGTATGCCCAGAGCTAATTTTTTTTACTATTATTAATCCCCTAAATCCTTCATTTCCTGCCTCTGTGTGGCCCTAATATCATTGTGGCTATTAGGTAAATTAGGCTAATAATATTTTCAGCATCTGAGGTGTGTAACAGAGATTTCTCCAGTTTGATGTGACTCACCTGATGGTCCCAATGTGTTCTTAAAGTACCTTATTTTACACTTTGTTATATTGCTATGAAGACTCATGGAACTGTTGCCACACTGGATTATGATATTCGGGGTAGCCTAAAACTGGGTTCCTGGGCTGTGGCCACTTCTACTTGGCTAGGATAATCTCTCTCTCACACATACACATACATATTTATTTGTTGTTGGGGGAGGGAGAGTGTGTGTAGGGGTCAGAGGACACCTTTAGGGAGTTTATTCTCTCCTTCTATGGTTGAATTCAGATCATCAGTCTTGGTTTCGGTTCCTTTACCTACTGAGCTATTTGGCCGGCTTCCGGGTGAACTTTCTCTCATTCCACTGAAAGTGAGAGCTGGGTTTCTGCCCCAACATACACTTCCCACTTGGCAGGCCTAAGCCTATAGGCTTCTTGGGTAGGTTTTGCTGACAACAGCAATCACTGGCATAACCCTTGAGTTATTGTTATCTTCAGTCCTGTTGCTCTGTAGCTTTGATTGGTGCATAGTTTGTCTTCCAAGACACATTCAACAACCACCTGACCAAATGTTTTGCCACCATATGATTAAAGGCCCCGGCTTTCCAAGCTGTAGCATCTGAACTCAAGAACTCCCAACACTGACCTTCTGGCCAGCTGGTCGGAAAGCTTAAGTTCTACCAATTGCTTCAGCTGGTATG